TTGGTGCTATAGAAACGTTGGGAGTTTTATTGTAGTTTCCCAAGACCTTTGGCATCTCTAGACTGTGGAATGAGTGCAATTCGACCCTACCTTTCATTGCAATGTCTCAGTGCTATAGAAATTTTGGGATCTGTAGTTTCCCAAGCCCCTTGGCTTGGCCTGGGTGCATCCACACTGGAGAATGAGTGCACTCTGACCCTACTGGACTCTAGGCTCAGGGATCCGGAGAGTGACCAATCGGGGCAGCAGGAATCCCTGGGGGGAGGGGGAGGAGGAGGAGGCGGTGGCTGCCTTGGTGGGCGTGTCTCGGCGGTGGCTCCTCCCCGAGGGGGCGTGGCTGGAGCCTCACCGGGCGCTGGCAGTCGCCTTGAGCCGCCAGACGGGTTGGTTGCTCTGCCTTGCCCTCCTCCTTCCTTCGCAGATCCGGAGCGAGTCCGCTTTCGGGTGGGAACCAGGCTCCTTCGGAGGAAGTCCCTTGCCTGCCTGCTTCTCTCCCTCCCTCCCACCCCATGGGCCCCCTTGGGAGCCTCCTTGCCGCCTTGCTTGGCCTCCTCCTCCTCCTGCCAGGTAAGTCCGCCTTGCCTTCCTTTCCCCATTGGGAGAAAGTTTGGCTTCTCCTCGGCCAAGATGGCGAGCCAGGCCACCGGCCCCTTTGGCCAGTCGCCCAGAAGGAGACGGAAAGAGGCTTAGCAGCACCTGCTGGGGGTTAGTCGCCCTTAGCAACCCCCCCCCCCAAATCGCTTCTGATCCGCCGCAAGCCTGCCTGCCTTCCTTATTAGAGTAGACCCATTGGCCTCCATTCATTTACAGTTGTTGCAATAGATGGTCCCATTAAACGCCCCCTGGATTTCTATTAGAGTAGACCTGTTACCTCCAGTGCATTTACTCCTGTGTAAACACAGTTGTCTTAAGGGATGGTCCCATGCATGGAGCGCCCTCTGGATTTCTATTAGAGTAGACCTATTACCTCAAATGCATTTACTCCCGTGTAAACTCAGTTGGATGGTAAGGGATGGCCCCAAGCATTAAACACCCCCTGGATTTCTATTAGAGTAGACCTGTTGGATCCAGTGCATTTACTCCGGTGTAAACACAGTTGGGATGGTCCTATTAAATGCCCCCTGGATTTTTATTAGAGTAGACCTATTACATCCAGTGCATTTACTCCTGTGTAAACACAGTTGTCTTGAGGGAGGGTCCCATGCATGGAGCGCCCCCTGGATTTCTATCAGAATAGACCTATTACACCCCGTGCATTTACTCCGGTGTAAACTCAGTTGGATGGTAAGAGATAGCTCCATGGATTTCTATTAGAGTAAACCTATTACACCCCGTGCATTTACTCCCGTGTAAACTTCAGTTGTCCTAATTGATGGTCCCATGCATTGGGAAGCCCTGCCATCCCACTCTTTTTTCTATTAGAGAAGACCTATTGTAACCAATGCATTTCCTCCTGTGTAAACTCAGTTGATTTAATGTTGATCCCATGCATTGCGACGTCCCCAATGCCACTCTTTTTCTGTTAGAGTAGACCCATTGGGTCCAGTGCATTTACTCCTGTGTAAACTCGGTTGGTCTAAGTGACGGTCCCATGCCTGGAACACCCTCCCCCCCGGACTTCTGTTAGAGTAGACCTATTGTAACCAGTGTATTTACATCTGTGTAAGCCCAGTTCATCTGAGAGATGATCCTATGTATTGAACGTAATTGGTTTCTCATTAGAGTAGACCCATTGGAACCAATGCATTTACTCTCATGTAAAGTTAGTTGGACTGAGACTGGATCCAATCCCTTTTTGCTTTTTTTGCTGGAGGGATTTGGGGGGGGGGGGAATAAATAAGACACCTCCAGGGGAAACTTTGTGGGTTTTCCCAGGGAGATGGAATATTATATAGTCTCTATCAATCATATACATATATTATTTCTCTGCTATCTAATGATATTATTATTTTTATTATTATTATTATTATTAGTAGTAGTATTAATAATAAGAATAGTTTTCTTTCTTACCGACCTCTCTTCGGGGCTCAAGGCGGGCCACAGCCCAGGCAAAACACACAAACATGGCAAAAATTCTGTCCAAATGTAGTTCTGACATACACACACACACATATATGTGTATATACATACATACACACACATATATACACATATACACACATACATACACATGCACGCACAGGCACACACACATATATACACACATATACATACACATATACATACACATATAAACACATGCACATATATACACATACACATATATACACACACATATATACACACGTATATATACACATATGCATACATACACATGCACACACATATATACACACATATACATACACACATATATGCCCATATATATACACACATACATACACACATATAAACACACATGCACATACATACACATACATACATACACATACACACATATACACACACATATATACACATGTATATACACACGTATATATACACATATGCATACATACACACACATACATACAGACACACATACATACACACACGAATATATATACACCCACATACATACATATACATACTCTATGTATGTTTGGAGAGATGATAGGGAAGGGTCCATAGTAATAGGTAGGTAGATTGGTAGGTAGGCATAGATTGGCGAGATTATCAATGATTCTATCACCAATCATTGGAAATTCCCAGAAAGTGTGTCTTTGGGTGGAACATAATAATAATAATAATAATAATAATAATAATAATAATAATAATAATAATAATAATACATAAATGTGTGTGTGTGTGGACATATTCTAGAGATGGATCTATCTCCAGGATCTATCTATCTATCTAGGTATTATTGACGTGGAAATCCCAGAAAGTGTCTCTGTGTAATGAGTGTGCGTGTGTGTCTCTGTGTGTGTTTATATATGATATCATAGAGATGAGTCCATAGATCTGTCTGCCTATCTAAGTATCTGTCTAGGTATTATTGGCATGGAAATCCCAGAAAGTGTCTCGGTGTGTTGTGTATGTTTAGATATGATATTATAGAGATGAGTCCATAGATCCGTTTGTCTATCTATCTAGATATTATTGACATGGATAGCCCAGAAAGTGTCTCTGTGTAATGTATGTGTGTGTGTGTGTATGTCTCTCTGTGTGTTTATATATATTATAGAGATGAGTCCATACATCTGTCTATCGATCTGTATATCTATCTAGGTATTATTGTCATGGACATCCCAGAAAGTGTCCCTGTGTAATTTGTGTGTGTGTATGTGTGTTTATGTATGATATTATAAAGATGAGTCCATAGATTGATCTATCTATCTATCTATCTATCTATCTATCTATCTATCTATCTATCTATCTATCTATCTATCTATCTATCTAGGTATTATTGACATGGATATCCCAGAAAGTGTCCCTGTGTAATGTATGTGCGTGTTTGTATGTGTATGTGTGTGTTCATATATGATATTATAAAGATGAGTCCATAGATCGATCGATCTATCTATCCATCCATCCATCCATCCATCCATCTAGCTATGATTTTGTAGATATTATTGACATGGAAATCCTAGAAAGTGTGTGATGTACATACCTATATAGATATGTGTGTGTGTATGTGTGTCTATCTATCCATCTATCTATCTATCCATCCATCCATCCATCCATCCATCCATCCATCCATCCATCCATCTATCTATCTATCTATCTAAATGTGTGTATATACATTTAACTATATGGAGAGATTATAGAGATGGGTCCATAACAATATGTCTGTCTGTCTGTCTATCAATCTACCTATCATTTTGAAGACATTATAATCGACATGGAAATCCCAGAATGTATATATCCTAGAAAGTGTGACACTGTGTGTGTGTCTCTTTCTGTGTATATAGTGTTTGTGTATGTATGTATGCATGTGTGTGTGCGTATGTGTGTTTGTGTGTGTGTGTGTATATATATATGGGCTATGATACAGTGTGTATACATCTATGTATTGATTGTAGACATGGGTTGATAATATATGTTATTTTGGAGATATCGTAGAGAAAGGTTCATGGAAAGTATGTGCATATATATGTATATATATAAGAATAATTGTAAGGTCTTGTTATGTAGAGAGCTATAATATAGATTGTGTGTATACATCTAGGTATTGATCGTAGAGATGGGTCGATAATGTATGTTATTTTGGAGGTATCATAGAGAAACATTCAAGGAAAGTGTGTGTGTATATGAATAATTGTAAGGTCTTGTTATGTAGAGAGCTGTAATATCGATTGTGTGTATACATCTATGTATTGATCGTAGAGATGGATCGATAATATATGTTTTGGAGATATAGAGTAAGATTCATGAAAAGTGTGTGTGTGTGTATACATATATATATATATATATATTGTGTGTCTATATATGTGTGTGTGTGTATTAGAATAATTGTAAGGTCTTGTAATGTAGTGACCTATAATACAGATTGTGTGTATACTTCTAGGTATTGATCGTAGAGATGGATCGATAATATATGTTTTGGAGATATAGAGTAAGATTCATGAAAAGTGTGTGTGTGTGTGTGTGTGTGTATAAAAGAATAATTGTAAGGTCTTGTTATGTAATGAGCTATAATATAGATTGTGTGTATACATCTGGGTATTGATCGTAGAGATGGGTTGATAATATATGTTATTTTGGAGATATCATAGAGAAAGGTACATGGAAAGTGTGCGTATATATATAATGTGAGTGTATATATATATATGTACATATGTGTGTATATGTGTTTGTGTGTATATATGTATGTGTATATATATATGAGAAATAAGAGCTTCTTATGTAGATTTATACATCTCTATATATAGGATCAATGGTAGAGAGAGAGAGAGGTGCATGGAAATCCCCAAAGTCTACATCCCAGAAAGTGTGTGTGTGTGTGTTGTGTATTTACACCTATGTACATTGATATCTCAATATTGTGACAAGGGCTTCTTCTATAGTTTCCCATGTAACATAGTCCCATTGCAATCAATGGGGTCTGGAGGGAAGAGGGATCAATACCAGCCCCATTGGCTTGGCATTGAGTTTCCTCCCCTCTTCCCCTCCCCTTGTTTTGAATCTGCTTCCAAACCTCTTCCTCCCAATTTGAATTCACTCCTTTTATTGCAAACACAGAATTATTTTGGGTGCAGATGGGGATTCCCATCCAACAGGGAGTCTTGTTTCCCAAAAGAATACTCCCCAAGCCCACCAGTATATTTATATATATTATATATTTTTGTCCAATTGGCTTCCTGATTATTTCGTAGCCAGGAGCCATGGAGTTGCTAAGGGAAAGAGAGCGGGTTGCTCCTCCTTTGCAAGCCTGCCTCGAATGTCTATGCAAAGAATAGGAGATGCAGCAAGAAAAGGGCAGCCAATCAGCAGCCTTCCAGGGAGGACTACAACACCCATCGCTCTGCACGATGGGAACAATAATCCCTAGACACTTGGGATATACGACTGAGCCATTTCGTCCCCCTGTTGGGTTTAGAGTGCTATGGCTTTAACCATGGCACACCCTTCCAGGGAGGACTACA